TAATATCAAGTGAAGTGGTGCGCCCGGTGGTAAGCTACACGCCGGACTATTTATCAAAGTTACTCTAATTTCTAGTGATAACAAACAAATCAACTAGATGGCATTTATTCTACAGATTTTTCCGGATAGTGCAAGGCTAGTCTTTTAGAATTAGCTCCATCTACCCATATTAGCAAGCGTTAATTAAAATTTTTATTGAATTGATATTCAATTATTTTTTATGTAAATTTTTTTATTGTTATATTCACTAATACAAAGATCGAACAATTAGAAAAAATTCCTTCGATATCCGGCCGGATTCGAACCGAGGTCTTCTAGCAAACCGTGCCAGACGCTAAGCCAACTAAGTGTTAATTTATAAAGTTGTTTGTAACACACAATGCCATCATACTTGTCAAATAAAGTTGAATATTTAAATAATATTACAAGGAAGAAATGGAGACCATACTTTAGATGGGAAGACGATTTTAAATGTTGCTGGAGGAGCCTCGAGGCAAACAGTAAAAGGTAGGGAGAAATGGAAATCTCTGGAAGAGGCATATGTCTTAGGACGAGCTGAAGGTACCGAGTCATCAACTTGAGTAATAATAAATAAGTAAAATAAAGTATGTCATGTCATACAATGTGTTAGATAAGTTAGTAAGTTATTAGCAATAAAGGCTATAAATAAATAAATAAACAAGGAAAAAACTGACATTTAAGAGGAATCAATTTATACATGCAGCCATTTGCATAATATAAATTACTTCCAGGATATTGGTCAGCGCCATCTGGATACACGACGGAATTTTGACCTTTTTCTAAATTACGATCTGAATAGTATGGAGCTTAACAGACTTCTTTATTCTTGACCCATGGTTCTACTTATAATCGCGTTGAACCTTATTAGTATGTGAATGGACACCTACTACGAGTTAAGGTCGTTTTCTACTGGCGAGACGAGACGAGGATTTAAATTGTATGACAAAAATTCAATCCTCTCCTAGCCCATCTTCGGTGGAAATGGTCTGGATTGACGAGGATGGTCGAGGCGAAAATTGAAATATTTGTTGATGTAATATTTAACTGTATTGCTGCGTACGTAGAGTTTTATACTCTGCAACGGAAACTCGCCATGGCTATTAAAATTATTATAAATAAGAGATTATGGGGTACGTACGATTTGAAATTTAAAGTGCCTCCGTGGCCGAACGGTTACCATGCCGGACTGCCACGCAGAGGTCCCAGGTTCGATTCCCGGGCCGGGAGAAATGTTTGTATGGCGTACATTTATTTCTCTCGTGAGTTTGGGTGTAGTTTGTGGTTGTCTATGTGTGTGTCCATGGCACCCGCGACACAGGGTTTCCCTAGTGCGGGGCTATGTTGAGTGTGTGCGTTATTTATTATTATTATTAAACGAAGATGGTTTCATTTCATTCTTCTTCGGTTAATATATTTAATAATAATAATTTACGGGACATGTTACTTCAGCCGCGTATCGCATCGGATGAACTGAACAGAATATTTAGTATCCACAATCGCAGCGCGATTTATTTATGGTAATTTTTGGTAGAAATAGGCCAGCTAGATTTCAATTCTCCTCGCCACGCCGGTGGAAAACTACCATTACAATGAGATGCACCTCATTTGTGTGAATATCAAATAAAACAATTTTAATAGATATAACGCTCATTCAATACAATTGTCGCTTCAACTAAATATACTTCCCATAACTTAATTTTATGTAATTCTCGGTTGTAATAATATTCACATTTTATAAGAACGTTTTATGTAAATTTATTTTTTACCCTATACTGAACTGTAATAAGAGTTCATGGTAAGGCCCTTGTTATTTAGAATGAGTGTTAGAATTAATTATTGTTATCAAAAATGAAATTATAGTATGTGAGTCTATATTTAATGAGCGTTAGGTTAAAAATATTTACATTACACTTCCGTTACAATGTCCATTACCATTTTATTTAACAAAGCACGTTACGGGGTTGCTAGCGACAATTTGTTACTGTAAAGTTATGATACACGCACAGGTGCACGAAATCACGTACTACGGTTTTTTTTATAAACGTAGTAGTTAATCTCTTCTGATAAAAACCGAACTTGCTGATAAACGAACCTTTATTATCTATACTATTTTTGTCTATCGTGTTATAATTTATAGGCGTTTAAAAATAATTTCATGATTGATTGAGATTGTTTTTAATGCAACTATATTGTTTATTTATTTATTTATTTAATCTTTTTGCACATATTTTATAATAATGTACAAATGAAGGATTTAATGTCATAAAGCATTCTCTATCAGTCAACCATTAGGCCAAACAGAAAAAAAGGTTGGTGCCGCACTTAAATAAAAAAGAAAAAATATCATAAGCCAAAATTTTATAGTTAATTTATACAGTATAAAATGAACATAATACACCATAAACATACTTCATATACTGATATAATAAACAATACATACATAATAAATATACCTAATATATATAATTATAGTAATATATAATGTATAGTAAATATAATATTACTTAATAATATGCTGAGTCTTGATCTAGATAGAAGATGTCAAAAAGATAATTGCGCAACTTGCGCTTGAAAGATAACTTAGTCTGAGCTTGTCTTATATACTCCCAGACACATAATTCCAGCCACCTTGCATTTTCAATATTTACCCTTAACTTAAACAATGCTTAATTGATCAAGGACTAATATATCCAACTTTGAAGCTGGTATACTAAAGGTCATTTCCTGAAGTCCTTATTGAAAATTTGAATTTCAAAAACCGGAGAAACCTTTTTCTTCGATGCTAACTATATTTTTTATTCTAGCCCTTTAAGGATAAAAATGCAAGGTGGCTGGAATTATGTGTCCGGGAGTGTATTTAGCGGAAGCGCGTTCCAAAGACGGAATGCATGAAGGGCGAAAGAATCAGATACAAAACCAGTACGATGAGAAAGAGTAGAGAGCTTGAGGCTACGGGAAGATCGAATTTTGCAACCCGGTTATTTATTTTTAAATAAAACATTGAAAAGGGATACAAGTAAAAAAGCCAAGTTTATAAAGACACTTGAAAAACAGTTAAAGCTTATTATGATATTAAGTGTTTTACGCATGCCCGTATAAACTTGGCTTTTTTGACTTGTACCCCTTTTCGCTAGAGCCACATATATTAGCTGTGGACTATATTTGAAATTTTAAAACTGTTTGAACATAAATAAGCCCTCCTTAAACGGTATCACTTGTTCACAGATATGGGCAAACAAAGAAAATGAACGCGGCGACAGAGTATGTGCACATGTTGAACGCGACGATGTGCGCTACCACCAGGGTTATCTGCGCCTTGCTGGAGGTCAACCAGACAGAAGAGGGAATAAAGGTATGACTATAGTAATAACTTTTTTTTTAACTGTAACGGCCTATTATTTTTAACTGCCTCCGTGACCGAAGGGTTACCATGCTGGAGAGGTACCGGATTCGATTCCTGGGCCGAGAGAAACATTTCTATGGCCTACATTTATTTGCGTATAGAGGATTGTGGATCTCATATTATTAAAAAGGATGGACGTAGAGGGTAGAGTGAAATACTTTGATTTAAAGAGACGTTTATTGATCGGTTTCCAGAATATAATAAGTACGAAATATACAATTTAAAATAAAACGTAAACTTAATTGCTAACCCAGCAATACGCACCACATGTTACAGTTACACTATATAAAAATAGTCTAATTATACTACATTATAGGAATTGCAAAGATAAAAAAATGTGTTGCGTGTTACATGTTAAAACACTTTTTTTTAAATTTAATTACAAGAAGATCTTAACAATTACTTAACAATCCAATAAAAGTTTACTAATTTATAAACAATTTAGTATTATTCTTATGTGTTATTTCAATAACAACATACACTTAGGAAATAAAACTATTTTTCCGGATTTAAATCGCGTATATTTGTTTTTTCAAACAAACCGACGGTTTGTTTGAAAAAACAAGTATACGCGATTTAAATTCGGAAAAATAGTTTCATTTCCTATGTGTAACAATCGCGAAAAGCTAAGAATTCGAATTATACTACTTGATTTTTCAACAAAATTAAATCATCGTTCTTATATTTTATAGCTCTTTGAATGAATGAATGAATTGAGGGGTAAGGCTGCTGGTGAAAATACAGGCACATGAAACTTGTCTACTTATGTGTCAGGGCGACAGGGCGCAATGGCGGTGCCCCTCAGATCTTTGTGATTTAAAGATCTAAGCGGCACTGCAACTGCTATGAACAGGCGTGTCGCTTACTACCCGACACACGACTCGTTCACCCCGTCACTAGATATCATCACCCCGTGAAGACTGCCGCGTAATAATTTGCCCAAAATTTAAAACACGCGCTAAGTAAGTAACCGCGAAATTATCGAACACCATCACTATAAAATTCTGTACATGACGTGTTTTGGATGACGCAACGTACCGGGACGCTACGCTCTCGTAGCATTGATAATTATGTATGACTCATTGTAACTGTCAGTTTATTTACGTTTGTGATATCACCAGATAATAGTAAATTCGACTTTAATGTTCACAATGTTATCGTACATTTCATTTCTAGTCTTTCACACTAAAATAGGCAGGCTTTTAATACTAACATTTTGCGACTAGAATCGACTAAGACTGCTAACAGATTGACCTCGGCTGTATCAAGTTTATTACTTCATGCATTAACTGCAACCCATAGATATAGAAAAAAAGGGCTGCAACCATGCAATAAATTTGTTAGCAGCCTAATTCACGACTTTTTTTGGTGGAATCAGACCTAAGCTAGGAACAGTGATTCTCGAGATTGACAAAATAGTGTACAGGTGTACAATAAAGCACCGGTATAACTTTAAAACGACGTTTCGACTAAATCTAGTTTTTTACAACTAAACCTACTAAATTACGATATTTTGTAGAGATTGAGGAATGGTGCCGCTGGAATAAGCTTATTCCTGCGTAATCACTAAAACACCCTTTTGAACGATAAGGACCGACTAAATCTAGTTTTTTGGAACTGGAACCGACTAAATGGCGACTTTTTACTTGACTATTCAAATTTCAAAGACGCTAGCGTGGTCACGATGGAATAAAGGACGCTGATCATACCTGCATTTTGAATAAAAATGGACCTTATGCTAATGAGTACACTTGATTAAAACCATAAAATTAGAGGAGACCCGTGTAAGGCAGTGAAGCGAATGACGACGATAATGAAGTTTGATGTTTGTGAAATTACAGATATTTGAGTAAGATCGAACGCCTATATCATTTTAATGCTGACGGTACCTACGCCAATAAGTTACTTATCCTGAAATCGAAGGTTTTGAACAGTTAAAGGTGCTAGTGAAATTGCACAACATGCACATGGGACTTGTCAACTTATGTCTCAGGGAGACGGACGCAGAGGCAGTGCCCCTCAGATCTTTGCGATTTAAAGCTCAGTGGCCCTGCAACTATTGTGGATCAGGCGCACTTATTCGTCCCGTCAAAAAAAATTAATAAAAAAAATTGAAAGTTATTCACTATTTAAATAACAAAGATTCCTATAAGGAACTTAACTCTTAGCCTACAGCTGCTGAATATTCAGGTTCTAAATTCAACTTTAGCAAATAAGCGACATTTGGAAGAAATTGAAAGTGCCGAATGTCGGTAGTTTAATTTTCGGTACGTGGGACACAACACGTATGTAAAGTGATGCCCACGTTGGTTAATGATTATGCAGTAGGTATGTATCACACGCAAACTTTTGGTGTAAGTCAGATGTTGTAAATGTATTTGTTTGCAGATACCAGACCCATTGAAGCCCTGGATGCCAGAACAGTACCAGGAGGTTATACCGTTCGTGAAGCCAGCACCAATTGACGTTGAAGCTGCAGCTGCACCGAAAAAAGGAAAGAAGAAATAAGCTATTTCTTCACTGAACTTCATTCCTGCATAAAAATGTTATCATAAGATTGCGCTTATATTTTTTTGCGAAGCCGTTCTTAATTTCGAACTTGAACAAATAAATGGCCAGGCTAAAATCATTTTGTAGTTTATAATAACATACCCAACCTAAAGTTAGACCATAATCAATATACGTTTAGATTTTGCGATAAAATCGGGAATGTATGTATGTATGTAAAAATGTTTATAAATGAAAAGTAAATGACGCTTTTATGTCGTCTGTTACAAGCTAAAAGTAAAAAGTATTTTTGATTAGTATACAACAAATAAAACACCGTATTGATACAATTTCAATATTTATTGTGACATAACAGCCAACAGACTGCATATATATATCATGCAAAACTTACATTAACTTTATAATAGAACTTTAAACAAATTTCAGACAAGAACTTGGGTTTTTCATGGAATTAAACATTTATGGTGCATTTTCATTCCGTTGTAAAAGTGAGATCTCTCAGGCACAGCCTACCCGAATACAAGTAAAACCATCAATTTATCGTAATTTATAGTAGAAATTCAATTAAAGTTTTAGCATAAAACATTCAAGATATAAAAAAATGATTAACAATAATCTCCCAGTAAGTTACCAAAATTGTCTATAATTAATTATATTAACAGTATACTGTACAACTAATGAATGAACAAAGCAGTCCTCATTATCCTGAGCGAAATAAAAATTAAATAAATTGCAATTCATACAGCTAAGTAAAAATAAAATATTTGTACACTTTACACTCGTCACACATAAATTGGTTTTCCACTTGTGATTGTAAAGTTTGGTCAACACCATATTTAAAATGGCCGATTACTCAAACTGGTCGTGGCAGAGATATAAAGTGTAAACTATCTCAAATAAACTATGTAATTAATAAATATGTGATTATAAAATTACACTACAATACAAGTTTCTGGGAATCTTGACTGCTAGACCCTAACCTCATAACGGGATGTAATAGAATGTTTGCAAGACCTTCCATTTGTCGATTATTAATAAATGTACATTACCTATAATGTTTTGGATAACATATGGGTAAATATTAGGCCTAAATTTTTTTTCGTGTAAATGCTTCTTGTAGTAACAAAGTATATAAAGCTGTCTTTGAACTCATACTTTACACTCATTCTCTTTTCAAATGGCACTACTACTTCTACAAACATCTAGTGCAACAATAAAACTACATAATATGTATAATGTTGCATTTTCATGAAAAAATTTATAAACCAATAGATTTTTATTGTCTATCACTTATATCAGAGAATTATAGAAAAAGCCAATTGTTAATACTTCTAAATTTAGTAGATTCCGTCTATAATGGAATTCAAACATTTTGAAGCAATGACGACCAAAGTGAAGAGTATTTTTAATAGATCAAGTAAAAAGGTAAATAATCCATAAGTGTATACTTTTTCTAAGGATAACATGATATCACATTTAATGATAAACAATGATATTCATTAACACTAATGGTTACAGAAATTATAAACTAGATGTGGATCTTGTTTTTAACATTTAACTTTCAACATAACTGTTAATGTAGAGAATGTAAGATTTTAGGGCATTCTTCTATTAAAAGTGAGATATAGTTCATTAACAATCTGATCATTTAAATAGAGTACTAGCAAAAGTGACATACTTATTAATATAGTATAAGACAAATTCTTATCAATTCAACCGCCATTTTGCTGTGTATGGTGACTTCACAGGCACTTACACTGGGTATTTAATATAACTATACCCTTTTCAGTGCCTATAGACAATAGTACTAGCACGCAAGTTGCGCTTTTTGCCTGCATTTGTGCATCAATGCGCGTAGAGTAAACTGTCGACGTGCCAAAGTACGAACTTGCTTCAAAAACGTATCCAAATCAATCACTTCTTTACGAAGTGCCTCTCCCATGTAATAAATAGCATCCTCAAGTGTTGCCTCCTCAGCAAAAGCGTTCAAAAGCTGGGAATATAATGGAGCTGTAGTCACAACTGCCTCATCAACATCAACACCCTCTTGCTCAGCTAAGCGTTCAACTGCAGCTCCTAATTCCTTTTCTTTCTCTTGAAGAATAGCTACATTCTTGTCTAACTCCGACCTTTCTCTCTGTAGTTTAGCAAGTATATCCTCAAGTCTGGCTTTACCTTCACGAAGCTCATGTTGTGTACGTCTCAAGGTTTCCAACTCAGCTTGTGATTGTTGAGACTGCTCCTTCAATCGTCTCCTTAGTTTATCTTCTACAGCTGAGAGTAAAGACGCCTTTATGTGCTCCTCAGTTATTGTGCCCCCACCCACATCAGGGCTAGGACCATACCCTGAAGTTGGTGGGTATGGTGTCGGATTTGTAGCAGGCGGATATGGTGACCCATTCGAATTAACCGCTCCAGGATATGGCGCCCCATATGCTGGGTATGGCAAGTTTGAAGCTGTGGGATAAGGTGTAGATGTAGGGTAGCCTGGTTGTGGAGAAACTTGAGGGTAAGGGTAACCAGAAGGTTGAGGCATGAACGAATTGACTGGATAAGGTGGTCTAGCTTCAGTCCGAGGCTTAGAATAGACGGGAGGAATCTCACCAAAGGCAGTGATCATACACTGAATAAGTTGCTGCAAAGTAGAACCAGTTTGAGTCCACTCGTGAAGATATGGAAGGTACACTTTTCCGTTAGTGTCGACGTACCTTGAGACCTTTATAGACATGTCTGGGGTCGGTTTCACGAAACACAACGGCGCATTTTGTGGGTGTGTGTCCATTAGCCATATGCACACAGGAATGTTATAGAAAGTACCTTTGTAGTTCACTGGGATCGTGCCCTCGAGATTTAGGAGGTCCTTCCGTGTGCCATTGTTAAAGACAAAGCCTTCCAGACGAAAGGTCAAACTTCTGTACACTTGTATCAGGTTGATTACCTCGCGGCAAGTATAGTCCCTATGCCTGTATTTAGTCAAATACTGCTTCAGTACCACTTCGTCATTAGCCATGATTAACAACAAAAGTAATCTACTAGACGGAAATAATTACTTGTTCAATTATTCGTAATAAAAAAACAAAATGATGAAAAATCATTCAATAACTTTGACAAATCGCTGCTCTATGCCACAGACACAAACTACGCCACAGATAACTCTAGACAAGTATCTATGCACAAACTAGAAACTCTAGAAAAAAAAATCAAAGAGTAAGGTATCTCTTTTCTTTTTTTTTTTAATTCTCTGTCAGTGTTGCTAATTTGTGGATGATTCCCCAAATTACGGGGAATTTCAACTCTGTCATGGATTAAATTCGATTGGGGATTTTGTGGGGGATTTGAGTTGGGTGGGAAAAATGCGGGGATTCTGCATAAGCGATGGAAAAATAGGGGATTCTAACATTTATTAGTGGTGTTCATGTAAAAAAAATATCGATTTTTTCCGATGTGATACATTGAAATATTGTATCGATATTTTGCGATATATCGATATAAAACATCGATATTTTCGATACATCATAAATATTCCAAAAAGATAAATGGAAGGAAATTTTACTGAGAGTTTATAAGTAAAACCACCAGTTTTCACGCGATAATCAAATGTATTTCTTCAATTACCGAATCTCAACACAACAACATCGCTGCACACAAGCAATATTATTGTCGCCGCACACAGGCTACCCAATGAGAATATAACTACAAAAACACACTAGCAACATAATACATATTTATATAATTATTAGCAAGTCACTTATATGTACCTATATAAAATTATTCGGTAGGGTCAGAGCACTTGTGTCTGAATTGTAAAATTACCAGTCGTTGAGTGCACGACTCTTCCTCCAACTAAAGCCGGTCACCGGCACAGAACACTATACTCACAAGGAGAAGAAAACCGACTTCATACA